AATCCTCTCACCTTGGCCTCCCAAAGTACAGGGATTACAGGCGTGAGCTCCCATGCCCAACAGTACATTACATTTTATGCACATGTGTGTGTATGTGTGTTTTATGTCCATTTTTAAAGTGTAAGAATAAAAAATATTTTGACCCCTCAATCAACCTAAATTCCTGGAGTCATCCTTCCATCTTCCACCTCTAATCTCGCTGATATCTAAAGAGTGACCAAGTCCTTCAATTCTGTTTTTGTAGTATCTTCACATCTGTGTTTTCTCCATTCTCACAGACACTCCCTTCCCCCAATGTCACATCCTCAATAACTCATGACTGAGATCGGTATGGAGTGGAGCAGGTGGTCAGAGAGGAAGAGCATTCTGTGGCACGGAGCAGTCAGGGTTTGAGAAGCCTTCCTGGGGGTCAGGTCTACTCTGGGTCTTAAAACTTTTCCAGTCATGACCCCTCCAGCACACAATTCCTTTTATCCCAGCCACAATGCCATATCTTTCTGTTCCCCTAAATACACAATACAGAAACAACTTAAAATATGATTTAAACTGCATTCACCAATATTCTGCTCTGGCTATACCCATCCCCGTTCCCATTCCCACCTATGGGCCTTTGCCCACTCTGAGTTTCCTGTCAGGAATATCCCCACCCAACCCTCCACATATTTAAACCAAACTAATCTTTTTTTTTTTTTTTTTTAATTGGGGTCTCACTCTTGTGGCCCAAGCTGGAGTGCAGTGGCACATTCACAGCCACTGCAGCCTCAACCTGCTGGGCTTAGGCGATCCTTCTGCCTCAGCCTTCCAAGCAGCAGAAAACTTTCTTTTTTTTTTTTTTGAGTTGGAGTCTCACTCTGTCGCCCAGACTGGAGTGCAGTGGCTGCTTCCGGCCACCGCAGCCTCGACCTGCTGGGCTCCGGCGATCCTTCTGCCTCAGCCTTCCAAGTAGCCGGAATTACAGGCATGCACTACCACGCCCGGCTGATTTTTTGATTTATTGTAGAGATGAGGTCTCGCTGCCCAGGCGGGTCTCGAACCCGCGGGCTCAGGCAATCCACTCACCTCAGCCTCCCAAAGGCGTGGGATTACAGGCTGAGCCACTGAGCCCGGCTCCAAACTAATCTTTTAGGGACCAGAGTAAGTCTGGGCTGAGAAATGGCCCACACAGTGGGGTACAGGCAGCTGGGCTCACTCAGGCTTGTATCCCATTCCTCTAAGGCAAAACATCAAGCAGAGACCCAGCAATTCTGATGCATAAAAACAGAAAAGCAAAAGCCCTATGAAGTACTCTTTCACTCAGCCTTGGCTGGAAACTGTTACCAAAGACAGAGGCTCCCAGTCACAATAGGCAGATGAATAAGGAATCTTGAAAAAACAATAACTAGCCGGGCTTGATGGCTCAGCCTGTAATCCCAGCACTTTGGAAGGCCAAGGTGAGTGGAATGCCTGAGCCCGCAGGTTCGAGACCCGCCTGGGCAACTTGATGAGACCTCATCTCTAACAACAAATCAAAAATTAGCTTGGCGTGGTATCGCGCACCTGTAGTTCAAGCTACTTGAGGCGAAAGGATTGCCGGAGCCAGCAGGTCGAGGCTGCAGTGACCGACTCCAGTCTGGGTGACAGAGTGAAACTCCAACTCATAAAAAAAAAAAAAAAGAAAAAACAATAACCAGGTTGTGATGAAAGTTCCTTCTTGCTAGGAGTACATTGCTTGTTATCTTGAACTTGTGTACTGGAGGTTTGTTTGCAAGAATTTCCTTTAAGCTATCCTAGCCGGGCTCGGTGGCTCAGCCTGTAATCCCGCGCCTTTGGGAGGCTGAGGTGAGGGGATTGCCTGAGCCCGCGGGTTCGAGACCCGCCTGGGCAGCGAGACCTCATCTCTACAATAAAAATCAGCCGGGCATGGTAGTGTGCGCCTGTAATTCCGGCTACTTGGAAGGCTGAGGCAGAAGGATCGCCGGAGCCCAGCAGGTCGAGGCTGCGGTGGCCGGGAGCGGCCACTGCACTCCAGTCTGGGCGACAGAGTGAGACTCCAACTCAAAAAAAAAGAAAAAAAACAAGCTATCCTGACAAAGGTTTGTTATCTCCTGTGTTCTATCACCCATAACCTTGAGGCTAAGCTTGTTCTGATTCTCAATAATTTACTGTAATTTCCATTTACTGACTACATATTTGTCACAAGAAACTATATGTGTTAGAATAAGTCTGTTGTAAGAACTTGCTTTTAGGTAAAGTAAGGTAGTTCACTAACTATAATCTCACTTTTTATTCTGGAGCTTAAGAGGCATAATTTCATGTGTTAAAGAGCATGAAGACTATGTGTCTTGGTTTTCTCCCTGCCAAGTCTGTTTATAATAAACCTCAGTCTCTAAAATATTCATTTCCAGAAAACAACAGGATTTGAGGTTTTCTCTGTTAGGGACTGAGAAGAAAAGCTGTCAGAATGAAAGTACCCAACAAGAGACCAAGAGTGAGGTTGTGACCCCCAAGAAAAAGGGAGTGTGGCCCACTAGGAGAGAAGGATGACCTATAAGGAGAAGGATGTGGCCTCTAGAACAAACGGGTGTGGCCTCCTAGGAGAAGATGGTGCCTCTGCTGGAGTTTGACATCTAGGATCCTATCGTATGATTACTTGAAAACTTTCTCCAAGTTGCTGCTGACCCCCAACACTCCCTAGACTGTATTTCTGCTTCATTTCCAGTGTGAAGACTGTTCCATGCTCTCTTGCTTCTTGGCAGATTTTCCTAGACTCCGGAGTTAAATTTTACCCCCATCTCTCAACTATTTATTTTCAGTTCTTCTTTCAAGAATCAGACCAAGAGTTGCCCATACATCTTCTGCAGAGTTAAACAGAATTCAGGGGCAAGAAGCAACTTTATTTGTAAAGAAAACACCTTTGGTTTGTGTATACTGTTAGTGTCTGTTTTAAAATAGCCACAGATCTGGCCGGGCTCGGTGACTCAGTCGGTAATCCCGCGCTTTGGGAGGCTGAGGTGAGTGGATTGCCTGAGCCCGTGGGTTCAAGACCCACTTGGGCAACTTGGCAAGACCTCAGCTCTACAATAAATCAAAAAAATTAGCCAGGCGTGGTAGCGCGCCTGTAGTTCCAGCTACTTGGAAGGCTGAAGCAGAAGGATCGCCTGAGCCCGCGGGTTCGAGACCCGCTTGGGCAACTTGGCAAGCCCTCAGCTCTACAATAAATCAAAAAAATTAGCCAGGTGTGGTAGCGCGCCTGTAGTTCCAGTTACTTGGAAGGCTGAAGCAGAAGGATCGCCGGAGCCCAGCAGGTTGAGGCTGCGGTGGCCTGGAGCAGCCACTGCACTCCAATCTGGGTGACAGAGTGAGACTCCAACTCAAAAAATAATAATAAAATAAAATTTAAAAAATAAAATAGCCACAGATTATCACATTAAGACAAAAAACTTCCAAATTTATTTTTCCAAAATTTTTTTTAAACCAGAAGTCATTAAAGTGAAGTGAAATAAGCCAGGCACCCAAAATTTTAACCAGATGCAGAAGTTGGATTTTATTGAATCCCTTGTTGTATACACTATGATAATCATTTTAAAAATTTAGTATTCTTCCAGTTAACTATATGAATTTGGAAATTCCCAATTGGTGAAGTGCAAATGGGTTATAGACATAAATTCCTCAGGTTGAAGCTCTAAGACCAGAAGCTTCTTCAGTTTAACCAATTCACTTCCATTTATCATTTTCTAAGTGAACCATGAAATTAAAATCTTAAGACTCAAAAAATCTTGGGAATTGCTTTGTTAATGTTATGCTTTGTGACGTGTCTGGCTTTAGGATATGTGTTAAATCCTGTCCGGTTAGAAAGAGAAAAAAATTTGGTGCTCTATATTTTTTGCCAGTATTTTATTTAAAATAATTCATTTTTAGTTTTTTTTTTTTCTATCATTATTCTAAAGTCTATTTTTATCCAGGCACAGTGGCTCACACCTGTAATCCCAGCACTTTGGGAGGCCGCAGTGGAAGGATTGCTTGAGGCCAGGAGTTCGAGACCAGACTGGGCAACATAGTGAAACCCTATCTCCACAAAATTTTTTTAAAAATTAGTCAGAGCCGGGCTCAGTGGCTCAGCCTGTAATCCTGCACCTATGGGAGGCTGAGGTGAGTGGATTGCCTGAGCCCGCGGGTTTGAGACCTGCCTGGGCAGCGAGACCTCATCTCTACAAGAAATCAAAAATTCAGCCGGGCGTGGTAGCACATGCCTGTAATTCTGGCT